GGTACAGAAATAGAAGTATTAATCCCAAAGAAAGAGGCATGCATTTCAAATTCCCCTTAGAGTTTTGAAATATTATAGATAATTCAAGTGATATTGATTTGTCAAATATTATGGTTATATGATCTCTTATTTCACTTGGTATATAGTAGAATATCAAAGAATGAGAGATACAGAAGCAGAAATAATGGTGCTAAAAGTCTATTAAGACATTAATTCCAGTTATTTAAAATAAATTATCAGGCATATTGGTAATGTATTAAAATAATTCCTAACTGGTTGCGATAGAAAAGACAATGAGCGCAATTTCTGAGTTGGGACTATAAACAGCTAATCTGAAATGGCATCCAAAATAAGTTTTTTCTGGAATCATCTGTTAGGCTAGGCCAGGGGTAGCCAACCTTTGGCTCTTTTATGACGTGGACTTCAACTCCCAGAATTCATGAGCCAGCCCATGAATTCTGGGAGTTGAAGTCCATGAGTCATAAAAGAGCCAAGGTTGCCTACCCCTGGGCTAGACAGCTATTTCATGCCTTTTCAAGGTTTTCATTTGTAGGATATCCTTGATATGGCCTGCACCCAGGGAGATGTAATGGAAAAGATACTATACATATGAAAAACTCCATGGATTCAATTCCTACAATTCAATTCAATTCAGTCCTACACAGGACAATCAAGCAATTAGACAATGTAGATCACTTTTAATTTTTGACATTAAATGTAATAGTGGATAGTGCTGATGCTTTCTCCAGCTGCCAGCATTTCTATTTTACTATTTTATTATTTTTGTTGGCTTCTGAAGAAGTTATGCAAACCTGAAATTCTATTATATTCTTTGCCTAACAAAGTCTGAAAACATCTGTTGCATCTCATTTATGTAGAAGCAAGGAAAGCTCTCCAAATGGATTTATTGTGACAAGCTCTCAAGGTAGCCGGTGTGTATGTATAACAAAGAGAAAAAGATTATTTTTATGATAAATAAACTAAAAAAGGAGACAGTTTTCATCACAGTATTTCAAGACTGTTTAAAATTGCATTTTGCTTGGTGTTGATCTAGACTAATCTTTCAACCAAATATAAAAATCTTTCATATTTGCTGGTGGGAGGAAAAAGAAATTATGAAAGCGAAGAAAATGTAAGAAGCATGCTTTTTTCATGCTACAGCCAAAAAAACATCATTAGCAAGCAGACTCTTTCGGTTTTAGACACAAAACTGATAACATTTTAAAATTGCACAATTATTTGATGTTTCTGTTCCTGCCTGGCCTTTAGATTAATTCACATGTGCTAAATTATCAAAACAAATATATAGCAATTTTTCTCAACCTGGTGCTTGCCAGATGTGCTAAATACTGGGTAGATCATGGAAACATTTGGAGGGTACTCCATTGGGAAAGGCTAATGTAAGAGAAATACACACATATCAACCAGTTTGATCAATTTGCTTTTTTTCCATCCCAATGAAGCATAGGGCTACCCAAATAAACTGAATGAACCTTTTGGCTAATATATAAAAACTATCTTGGAAAGAAGTATAAGTTCTGATCATATTGTAAATCAGTGGTACTCCCCCTAGTGGCTGATTTCTATCCAGGATTTTTATTTTTCCTTGTCAAAACAGGTTTTTGCATTTTGTAATCATGCTACTTCAATGGTGATATAATCAATCAATGGCAGGAAACCTTGTAATAATTTGAACAATATGTATGGTCATTTATCCTCATAGTCAAATTCAGAGAAGAGCAAGAAGGCCATTATGGCAACATTATGATGTCTTCTTATTCCTGATTCAATATCATCCCTTAGAGGTTTTATCCCAAAATTACTTATGTCCTTAATGCTACATGTTAAACCATGGTGCAGAAATTTCACAACTGACTTTGCCCAAACCACATAAACTATAGTGTGGTTTAGAATTGTATGTGAATTCTATATTTGCCCAGCCAGGCAATATTCAATTCTAAAGCACTCCTTTGCTTTTTTTCCAATTCAAACCAATCCATCTAATTTTGGGGAAACATTCTAAAGAACTTCATATTCTTTTTCATGGAACAAAAGTTTATAATACCTGCTTCCTATCCCTGCTTTTCATTCCTTATAGCCTTCCCTCTTAATTTTCTTTTATTAGGAAAACCCAGTCATCAAGTTGAAAATTTCCCTCATCACCAAAAGCCAGCTCTTTATTTGAACTTCCAAATATATTTAATATCTTTAACCTCTAAATACAGGTAGTCCTCGACTTACAATCACAATTGAGTCCAAAATTCCCATTGCTAGGAGAGACTGTTAAGTGAATTTTGCTCCATTTTATGAACTTTCTTACCACAGTTGTTAAATGAATCACTGCAGTTAAGTTAGCAACATGGTTGTTAAGTGAATCTGGCTTCCTCATTGACTTTGCTTATCAGGAGATTGCAAAAGTTGACCACATGACCCAGGACACAACAACTGTCATAAATATGAGTCAGTTGCCAAGCATCTGAATTTTGATCACATGACCAGAAGGATGCTATAATTATTGTGTGAAAAATGGTCATAAGTCGCTTCTTTCAGTCCCATTGTAACTGAATGGTCACTAAATGAACTGTTGTAAGTCAAGGACTATCTGTATATTACTTTCATGAGAATCAGTTTAGCATAACAGTTCTCACTTTAAAATCAGAAAGTTGGCCCAATAGGGACATTTCTTTCATTATATAGCAATCAATTCTGTTTGTAACAGAATATTGAGTAAAATGTTATCAATGGCTCTGAAATTCACATGTAAAAACAGAATTGTTTTCATCTAAAGGGATTTTGAAATGGTACATACACTTCTGCAAGGACAGATAAGGAAAAGACTTGAGATCAGCCACAAATGCTCCAAATAACTGCTCTTTGTAAGGAGACCACAGTCTCTGGCAGGTTAAGAGCTCTGGAAAAGCTTATTGCTCAAATAGTTAATGCAGGGGTGTCAAACTCAATTTCACTGAGGGCCGCATCAGCATTGCAGTTGCCCTGGGGGGGCCGGGTGGGTGTGACCAGAATGGGTGCAGCTTACTGGGTGGGCATGGAGTGGGTGTGGCCTACTGGGTGGGCGTGGCCAGTTCTACATCATTTGCGTCAAGGGTGCCTATGGGGGCCTGGGCAGGAGTGGGACAGATCTGAGGCTCTCTGGCAGAAGGTGGTGGGACCGGGTCAAGTGCCAAGGCAGGGTCCACCGGGGCAAGTGCCAAGATGGCCCCCACAAAATTGTACATTGGCTGCCAGCTGGCCTGGGCCCCGGCCAAGGCAGCGGGGGCCGTTCCCTCACTTTTTCCAGGATGGCTTCGTGGGCCACATGAAACCACTTCGCGGTCCGTATCCGGCCCCCAGGCCTTGTGTTTGACATGTCTGGTCTAATGCCCAAAACATAAGCAGTTTTAAGGACACTGAATTTGCTTCCTTTTCTAATCACTTTCAGAAATTGCTTGTTAACTGCTTTTCAGCTATTAGGAATCTTTTGATACATGTGTTTACAGCACCTGGCAAGTTTCCTATAATCCTTAGGAAACCAAATTTTAACAAGTTTAGAGATATTTTTTTAATAAACAGCAAAAGATTAAATCAAACTCTAATTTTAGAGGATTATAAATAGACAAACCATCAGATAAATTTGAAATAAGATTTTGGAATTAATTATAAAAATCTTTCCTATGGAAAATTTGAATTATTTTAAAAAAACTAAGGTACGACTTTATAAATTGGAAACTAGAGGAAACTAGAAGGAATTAAAAGCTAAGAACACTGAAACTCAACTTACTAAGACAAAATGAAGCAAAATATTTTAACACTGGACATATTGAAGGACATTGCAAGTTCTATCTAGTCTTAGGCATGAAAGCTGCTGGATGATTTGGGGCCAATCATTTTCTCTCAGCCTAATCTACCTCACAGGATTGTTGTGGTTGAAAATAAAAGGAGCAAGGAGTATTAGATATATACACTATACTGAGTTACTTATAAAGTAACAAAGGCAAGAAAAATATAATTAAATAATTTGAAAGATCAAGATTGTTAGAAGTAAAAGGAAGAAATAAAAAGTTGGTTTATTTGGGATTAAAATAGATGTTATCTTAGATAACTCTTAATGGACTTTTGCTGTTTTTGTTTATAGATAAGAAATGGCATATGAGAAAGAGAGATCATTTATTGTATTTTAAGGGAAGTAATCAGTTAGTAAAATTGTATTTCCTGTGAAGGAGAAAAATCACTTCTTTATATATTTATTTTTCTTTACTTATTAAAACAGGTCGATCAATTTAAGCTGGTATTTAATAAACCAGTTATACAAGGAAGCTTTTCAACCTTATATAACTTCTGCAAATCTTGCTTCCTGTCACAAAGGCCATTAAAGCATAGCCACTCTTAAAATGTATTGCAAACCACCGTATTTATTAGGAAATCCCCACTCATCTCAACAGAATCTGAGTAGAATAATATGCTCATCGTGGTCAATGTCGAATACATTTATTCTGAATAAATCGAATCATGTTTTCTCTATTTGATCCAGGCCTCTTTCAGGGCCCTCTCAGGGTTTTCTCCACAGGAGGAAAGTAAGAAAAACGAGTTACAAAGCTGGATTTTTTTCTCCTCGTTCCATAATTAAACCTAATTATGGAACGAAAGTAATTGCTAACTTGGGAACGCCTTTCCAATCAGATTGGAAGACCTAAGCAAACCGCAGCGGCGTTCCTTTTCTAAATCAACCACGATAATTCCGCATATCTTGCACCAGGTTTTCCCTAGCCACACGGAGGCAATCCTGCGCTTCGGTATAGTTCCGTCTTTCACAGATCTGGGGAAGGCAGCGCAAGTGGAGCGGATCCAATCAGCATTTGCAATCCAAGCAGAGTCTACTGTTCCCTCCCTTCCCGGGTATTATTCCATCCCGGTTGTTCTCCCATGACAGCTGGCTGCCTAATTTACAAGAGTCTGAACTCATTCCTATAATTCTAATGTACCAATATATAGACTTCACTCACCAGCTTCAAATGATCTGAAATTCTGGAAAAAGCTAACAGCAGCTCCTTTAACCTATCATAGCTCTATCGCTGAAATGAAAGGCGGGTGCAAAACAATCAGCCTGCCCATTTTTTAAGCCGTGGAGCACGCCCTTCCTTAAAGTGAAACGGGCTTCCCGATGCCGGAATAGGTTTCAAATCTTCAACTTCTCGTTAATAATTCGTGTCATGTTTTTGTGCAGGGATCACCAGATCTGGGCTGCCATCAGAAGACAGCAAGCTGTACAGAAAATTGTAACAAATGGTTTGGATTTTTGCAGCTCAGATCTGGTATAGCAAAACTAAACCAAAATTAAAGTAAAGGAACATAAAAGAGCATAAATACATTAGAAGCTGCATTATGGATAATTACTTGTTCCAAAATAATGAAGTATTTCCTATATTGGTCACATAGTGGACAATGCTAAGGTGCAAGTGATCTCTGTCTCCTAGTTTTTGGTGATGGATTTGTATGGAACATATAGCTCAAGCCCCATTAGATTATTAGAAGTGCAGTGCCACATAACAGTGCAATGAATTCAATTTGCCAAACGAATATCAACAGAATAAGCCAGGGGTCTTCAAATCTGATCTTTTTATGACTTGTGGATGTCAACTCCCAGAATTCCTCAGCCAGCATACCTGGCTGAGGAATTCTGGGAATTGAAGTCCACACGTTATAAAAGGGCCAAGTTTGGAAACCCCTGGAATTATTAGGAAAAGCCTTAAGAATGGATTTCAAAATGGGTAAATAAATAAAATCCTAGATTGTAACCCTCTAAAGATCTAAATTTTCCACTTGACAACAATTAGAACGAATATCATAAATTCACATAAGAAGCACCAGAAAATAGATGGCTGAAGCACCCCACAATCTTTGCTGAAAATCCAAGGCAAGTTGCAAACACTATAGAATGAAATCAGCCCCAATGAGAAATTAAGCAAAAAGGACGTTTACTGGAGGGGAAAGTGGTTGGCAACAGGTTGAAAATGGCATAACATTTTATCCCTGAAAACTCAAGCAATTTTTCAAAATATCCAATATCCATTTATATTCCACCTTTAGGAGCTGGAGATAATGTTCTTAGCACTCCTTCTTCCCATTTGTCATCACAAAAATTACTATAGAGTAATTTAGAGTGAGAAAGTGAGGTGAGTGTAAGCTTCCACAGTTTTCACAGTTGAGGATGGATTTGAGACTAACAATTCCCAATGCCAATCCCACATGTTAACTCCTAATCTACCCCTGCTGTCTTCTAGATGAATAGAAATAGTAAGAGCAGGAAAAGTTGAAAGCATAAATATTCATGCAAAAAAATGGAATCCAAAGATATTTAATCATTTGTAACCCTGTAATCTTCCAGAAGTTCATTCACACTTTTGGCCCAGCTCCATGATAAACTGCTTACATTTTGCTGAGCATATATCTTCACATCAGTGTCTCAGCCAACAGCAGCTTCTGGAAAGAAGCTGAAGCTAGATCCAAAATATAGCAAGAAAATATTTTTCCATTGAAATGGAAGAAAACCCCTTTTGCCCACAGAAGAGGAGCCAGAAAGAGGTCAATAACTTGTAGTACTCCAACTGGTCCACTGTAGATTTTGTCCCCTCCTATCGGATCATGAAACCCAAACCTAAGTGTCCATGTCTACTTTGGCTATCAGAGTGACCAAACTTTCCACAGCAAGGGATTTTTGTGTCATTGATCACTTTTTGCCACCTTATGACAAGCAAAGTCAATGGGGAAACCTGTTCCACTTAACAACTGTATTACTCACTTAACAGTTGCAATGGTTCAGTTATCAGCTGTGGCAAGAAAGGTTGTAAAATGGGGCTTAATTGTTGTAAATCAAGAACTACTTGTATTCTGAAACTGAAATGGATTATGATAACCAGAACAACCCTAAATACTGTTTATGTTTATCTTACTCTGTCATTCTTTCAGGGTTATATCCTATACCATCACAAAACTAAAAAAAATATCATGAAAGTACATAAAGTATGTTTGTTATCACTTGTTTTGTTTGAATTTTAAGGCTGAAGATTATAGCACCTTTGCAGTAATATACAGGTAGACCTTACTTAATAACTACACTGTTTAGTGACTGATCCCAACATGTAAGGAAAAAAGTTTTAAATCTTTTAAAATTGTCACTTCAAAGTTACCATTTTTAAAAAAATCTTACTTTTATTTTGGAAAGCATGATGATGCACATCAAAGTCTTATCTCATTTTGTTATGCCGACATTGTAATGTAAATTGGATTGGGAGATTGTTATCCACAGACTGAATATAAAAACTTGAAGGGCCACTAGATAGCAGCAAAATTAGCCAATAATAATAATATTATTATTATTATTATTATTATTATTATTATTATTATTATTATTATTATTATTATTATTATTATTATTATTATTATCTAGCAAACTTCCAGATTCTTACAACTTAGGTCTATAGCCCTATCATTAAAAACTATAGATGAATACAGACTGAATGTCTCTAATCACCGTCTAACACCACACCTCACAAGCTCCAAAATAACTATTTGCGCTATATGTGACAATAATAGAATATACCCAATTCCTGAAGTAGTCTATCATTTTTTTATCTAATGTTATGTACAATTTGGGCCAGGAAGTAAATATCAAGAAATTCAATTTTTGTACAGTACTGTAAGCTCCCGGAGTCGTAGATTGAGATGGTGACTATAGAAATTAAACAAATAAACAAACAAAACAAAACAAAACAAACAAACACACACACACACACACACACACACACATTACGAACACCATTTAAACAGCATGAAACTATACCTACTTTCCTATAATTAAGCTTCACTGAACCCAAATTCTAAGTGCATGGCTATGTGCATGGTTATGCTATCTCATTTTCCCTAACTGCACATACACTAAATGGAAGAATTAATTTTCTGTACACTATTTTTTTGGTGCCATCTAGTGGTCTCTAGATTCTTCCAGACAAGTATGGTCTGTATTACACTGTAAGCATATTCATTCAAAAAATGATAAAATTACTTCCTTTCTATATAATAGGTGCAGCTTGGAATGTTCTTAGATTGTGACAATAATTCTTGCTTTGTTAAGTATAACAAACATACATAGCCAATTTAAAATGAATAGCAATGACATGTATATGCAGTTATTCATTAAGTATATCAAGTTGGTGAATTACCAGGAAAAGTGCTATATAATTTTTCTTAATGTTATTGAACTGCAACTATTCTATAGATCACTTTTCTTTCTCAGATCAATATTTTACTCCTGGTACTTTTCCATGTGTAAGTCAGCAATTTTCTTATTCGCTTGAGAGTTTTCTCTCCTTTCAGCTTAAGCAAGTCCTTGCTTCCTGTTATTCATTTACCTTCTAATTGTTTTTCCTATCTTTTCATATTCATTATCATTTTTAGAACTAAAAAAACCCCTCTGGAACATAATTTCAGCTTTCCTAAGATATTGATCATGCCTAGATTTTCTGAAACTCTGTTTTGTTAAAGTTTTATTGCCTAATCATAACTATGTTAGAGGTCAGTCTCACTAAAATCCAAAACCTATTTCCAAGTCACATACTGAGCATCAGAGCTAAGGCCTGTTCAAATTATCCTCTATGAACTAATTCTTGTTTGTATTAGTTGGGTTCTCATAATTCATTATGCAGCTGGAGATTCATATGTGAACTTTGAAAACTTACAGCCTTTAGAAAGCTTCAGAAGTTGTGACCAAATTGCAACTTTTAAACTTAAGCAGAAGTCAATATTAAAAATACAATTGAAGCAAAATTGTACTACCCATATTTATTTTTAAGTAAAGGTAAAAAATATAAACTGGGTCAACAATGTATAAATGGCAAAATGACCTGATGATCAAAACCCTGGCCCTTCTTAATATGTGCTGTACACATCACACACATACTTTGATTGCCATTTGCTCCCACTATTTTTACATCACCCTACCACAGTGTCCCTGGATTCAAAATCAAATTAGTTTTTAATTTTAGCCTTCAACATGTTGCTCAAAATTAAGAAAGAGTTTGGACTAAAAAATAGTAGTGCAAGTAGGGTTGCCAGGTGTCCACTATTTGAGCGGACAGTCCACTTTTTTCACATTATGTTCACTATTTTTTTTCACAAAATAGTGGACATTTTTTTATTCAAAAGCTTTATGATGAAATGGTACGTAATCTAAAGCTGTACAGTCTACTTTTTTTTACTACTTAACCCCCCCCCCCCCGCTTGTCCGCTATTTTTTGGAAGCAGACCTGGCAACCCTAAGTGCAAGGTCAAAATATGATTTTGTGGTCAGGGTGTTGGGAAATATAGACCAACATAGCTACTAAATCTGAAAAATAGTATTATGCAGTGGTTACCTGACATCCCCATATTATTCAGATGAAGAAACTAGCAATAGAAGGTTTATGTTAAGTTAGGCAACCCTTGGATACAAAGACAGAAGGTTATAACAGTCATAAATAAATTATCTTTGCTTACCTGTTTCAGTTTTGTTTTGCCCTATGTTGCTTATTTTTTTGCACACATACTTGAGCAGGTGTGGAAATAATGCAGGGACTAAATGTTGTCATGCATCTGAGAGTTTGTTCCTGATTCTGGTTCATTAGCTAAGCAAATGGAAGGTTATAGTCATGCTATAATCCTATACACTCTTGTGCTTGGTTAGTTGATAGTGTACTGTGATAAGCAAGCTAGTATAGTTAGTGCGTTATGCAAATAATAAATTGAACCATGGTTCAACATCCCAGGCAAACAGCTATACAACTGTTCATTTAGTTAGGTTTTAGCACATTAATGAATTAGGCTATGGTTAAATCATGTAATCATGTAATCCCAAGAACAGAAAAAAAGACCCAGATGAACCTTATTTTATCTTGTTCTGTTGTTTGAGTTCATGTAATATTGAAATGTGAACTAGCCAAACAGTTTGGATTAAAATAATTCACCAAGCCACAAATAACCTATTCACCAAGTTTGGCATGTTGTGTAAATGCCCTATTATTTATAAACTAACACTGTAATA